TCTTGAAGATGACATTATTTTTAAGTTTCTTCTTTGACGCAGCTCAATATACCTTGTAGCAAAAGACTACTGGTAAGCAAGTAAGTCATTAATCTCTCCCAACAATTTTATCATATAAGTATTCTATGTACTTTTCCCTGACCTCTAAAAAACCAAATTTCCATCGTCCAAAAAGCGACTGGTGACCCCATTGTCATAAATTCGTCGCCTCCTTAAGGATTACGGCAATTTCGTTATCTCAACGAGCCAGCGAACAATAACCGCCACAGCAATTACAACTTTATTATCACTTATGCGACGCCACGGAGTTTGCGACGAAATATCTTATGTGGGAGTTACTTGGACACTTCTTTCGAATTTTCTTAACTTTTAGAAGTCAGATTTTATTGGGCCTTGCTGAGAATTTAAATTCTGTATATGTATTTTTGGGGGTTTTAATAAATCTGTTCTTATTTGTTACACCGGAGAGGGGAAGTTTTTTGTATCAATCATCGCTTGCAGCAAATCCGTGGAAAACGCTATTTATCTGTGTAGGTTTGGGGAAATTTGTTGGACCAGAAATTTATGATGAAAGATGAGAGATGAATTAAAAATGTTAAATTTAAACAAGTATATAATATAAACTACTATTTTTTTATTTTTATTATTATTACTAAATCAATGATTTCCATTCATTGTTGACACCTACGGTACTAAATAAGTGTTTTATAAGGACCCTCACATTAAGAATTCACACAAACAGTCCTCCTCGATTCTTGTTTTGCTGTATACAACCTTGTACAATATTTCATCCTCCGTTGCTTCCAAAAGAATAATATTTTGCGACTTTACACAATTAGTCATATTTTTATCTCCGGATCACAATTGCCTTATTTGTGAATCGCTTCTTAAACATATTTCAGGGCGATAATATTTTAATTCTCTTATGGGAGACGTCCCATGGAAATTTCATCATATCAGTGTAAAAATGGTAATTGAGAATGCTTTATTGTGCGACTAAATGCGGCTACCGCTAATTTAGTGCCGCTGATATCAAGTTTACTAGCGGTTACTAATTTATATCATCTTTAAGAAAGTTTATGCGGGATGAAAATACGCGATGATATCTTTCGAGTGTCATAAATTTTAGGTACAATGGGAGATTTTGATACTCGGTAGACAGAAATTATCTTGTTTAATGTATTTGTCATGGTATAAGTTCTTTCATAAATTCAAAATAGTCCTAGTATTTTAAACCATTCAAACCATTTCTAATTGAATATTTAGTTCTGTTTTCGCACATGCAAGTTATACCTATTTATATTAAAATTTTACTAACTGTTCTACAAACATGTTATTTCTTCTCCTGTGATTTTTCTAAGCTCGCTATCGCAAAAATAATGAAATTTTATACCCCGAGTCGGCTTTTCGTGCTCAATTTTTCTCTTTGGCGGTAAATCACGCCGCGTTTTTCCGCAAACTATGATGGTAATGAGAATGCATATCGCCGTTATAACAATAGAAAGAAGAATTATTGCAAAAAAGTGTAAAATTCCTTAAAAAAGTATAATTCTTTCTCCTGTTGCGCGTCTGCGGCATATGCGTGCGTGGCTAATGTGCGTTAATTGAATGTGTTCTGGGTTATTAATTTTGCAGATGTTTACTTGGTGGGAAATTGAAATATTTATAGACTTCTATGTAGGTAGATTTGTTTTTGTAAAAGTCAGATAGCAGATCATCAATCAACAAATTTTAATTAGTAAATGATTAAATTACTTAAAGTATGGGTGATCTATCATAAGTAAATACTGCTAAACATTAACTCTGTCTATTTGTTTTGGTATTTTACCAGTTGGCACTTTAGAAGGCAACCTAGTAATTGTCCTCTTTGGTTTCAACTTGGCTATTTGATTTATTATGTTATAGCGATCAATGGCCAGTAAGTGCCATCACAGACGAAGACACACACCTCATAAAAGTATTATCTCAAAAAGTAAGTTTACATAACGAATAAAGTAAGTAAAACTTCAACAGTAGTTTCTCTCGATTTAGGTCAATAAGTCACGCGCAAAAAACCTCCGAGTACATTAAGTGCGATAATATTAACTCCAAAATCCTTCCCAAGTTCCTTTTTTTAATAAAAATATCATCAGAAGCAATTTAAATTTATCTCTTTCGGTTTTGCGAGTCTTAATCTTAATTTGTTCATAAATCATATCACGGTTAACTCTCCCTTAATTCCATCGCCCGGGGCATATCTCGCGAACACGGACGCGTTCTTAGGGCTTTTCTGGCTGTGTGTATGTATGTAAGAGTATCTACGAAGGTATCTAACACCCAGTTAGAGAGAGTATAAATAATATTTATTAAAACCCCAAAGAAACAGACCGAATTCTCATCCGAGGGCGATTGCCAAATCTCGACTCGGGATACGCAAAAGCGAAATTAAGAGCAATAAATAAAATTATGACAACACTTGTGACTTTCCAAACACGTATTAGGTAAATGAATTACTTGGGGAATGGATTTATATTTGAAATTTTGATCATGCAGTATATATAATAATACAATTACTTGATACGATGCATACTACTGATAAATAATAAATTTTGATTGATAAATTGATTTGATTAATAACTCAGTTATTGACTAAATAAACAAATAAATATAATGTGAATATATTCTTCACGAATTCATATGCCTATCTAATCATAACCCTCGTAACCCCAAAAGTATGATGATAAATGATGCTTTTTCTCTTTGCTTTGCATTATATTTTAATATCGCTTACCAAAGTTTAAATCAAAGATTTAGATATCAAAATGAGGTAGGATTTACCTTGGGAAAATCCCACGTGATTAATTATATTTTTTATAACTGTATTATA